ATATAAATAATAGTGTCAAACTTAAATTTACTGGCTGATCTAATTAAAAAACCTAGGATTTTAAAGGCCTTGTTAACCGTATTTTGCAATTGAATATCGAATTCAAAATTCTCTTGAAAAACCATACCTAAATCTTTTTGTTCTATAACTCTTCCTAAAGAAATATTGTTTGCAAGATAGTTAATTTCAAATTTTAGAAATTTATTATATTTATATGAACTAAAAATTAAATATTCATTAAACTTCTAACTGATATCAACAAATCTCTAATAAAAAGGCGCTGTGAGGTCATAATTTTCAAATTATAATTACTAGATAATTAAATAGATAGATCACCCTTTAAATAATAAAGATTAAGAGTGTATTTTCATGTTTATTGAAATATTAATTTCTATCAAACATGAGGAGATAATAATTGTAAGAAGGTTAGTAAAAGGTTTATTACAAACATTTTCTAAACATTAAAAAATAAATAAGTTAACAACAAAAATATCTATAATTATTGAAAAATAACAAACTTCAATTTGTAATACTATCTGCAACCGCATTTATCAACAACCATGTCTTCGTAAGCGTAAGTCAGTGTTAAAAATCCTTTCTCGTCTATATACATGAGTGAAATTGAATTCATGGAGATCGGGGTGCAACATGGTCGTACTGCTTTTGGTGGCGAGATGCTGTGTACAAGGGATTGAATAATGGCATGTTTCGACGGAGACAGATGTTCTGCCATGGGAAAAAAACATTTACCAACACACTGATTTGCCTTAAAACAAAGAATAAGTAGAATATTGATTCTATAGGTATTTGCTACTGATTTGAGTCAATTTAGGAAAGTATCATCTCTTCATCCTCCTCATATGATTGGCGTAATCCACTCTACGTGACGAACATATTTTCCTTTGAAATTTCTTCTAGAATAAACGATAAGGAAGCTTATCGAATGTCACCCTCTCAATTAATTCTTTTGATCTTGTCAGTTAAATCTCACCCTCGCAATTTAAACCAAATTTTCTTGGAATAAGAAACGTTGATATTAAGAAACAGTGAAGTAAACGGTAATCAGACGTAACGCCAAAATTTGACGATCTCTCCCCCAACTAATAATTAACTCAATCTGCGCCAGAAAAGAGATTTAGACGTGTACCACCCAGTCACTTGCAAGTTAATTTCTTCTAAATGTAGCCTAATTAGAGTTCCTATATAAGTTCCTAATCGGGATTGGGTTAACCGTAACCGATGCCGGAATCAGAACCGAAATCGAAGTCAGAGACCAAACCGCTTTGTGAATAAATGTTCACATAAAGTTTATACTTGCTGAATTAGCACAAACTTACAGATAACTCCGTGGATCTAGTTTTTTTCAAACAATTCGTCTCGTATCAGCACAGATGACTGCTTGGTGTCAAAAGAATCCACAAATTAATAAACTTATACTTTGACAGATTTTAGTACCGTTAGGTAATGGTAGTGGACGAGCTGTTCCTCTGCCCCATGTGCTGTGTAGTGTAAAAAGTGGAGAGTAAGGTGCAAATTCCTCTTCAGCCTTTTCCTGGAATCGTGGAAATGGGCTAGGCGTAGTTAGAGACGAATGAAATAAAAACAGAAAAATTGTGAAAGATTATCTACAGTATATTATTGCTTCTGTATTTGCCTAAATGATCCAAGAAAGCCATAACTAGAGCAAGCGGATTCGAAATTAAACCGCAGTCGTCCCGAGTGTGAAACCATGGCCTAACGATTAGACCATGCCGCTCATAGTCAATTAAATATTTCTTCCAAAATAATAGTCAATAACTATAGTAAATTTCACTATTTGAGATGGGCGTTAGGTCACAAAATTAATTTTCCAAAAATGTCATCAAATCTGTTTTTGGATCATCAAATTATATTTTTATAGTAATTTTCAGACAAATAGGCAAACCAACTGAAATTTTGAGAAATTCCTGGCTGACCCTGGAACCGTAATGAATGAACATAGTTTTTGTGGCCCGTCAATAAGGGATAAATATCAATTGAAACTGCTTCATGTTAATCATTAGGGATTAGAGGTAAGATACGTTCACTGATATTATTTTAAATTTCTTCATTTTGTTGAAAAATTGGTAATCAATTAATGAATTGCTTAAACTAATGCGCACTGAAATATTTTATATATTAATGTGTAATAATTAATTTATTAAGTTTCATAGCACTCGCGATGTATTGTTAAACTTTAAAATGGTATCATGTCTTCTGTAGCTACATTTATGTTAGGTATTATTTTTTGGAAATTCATAAATTTTGAATAGTTGTATTGGTGCATACCTGGACTCTATTTAGTACTTTTTGTAAAATTAGTATTTGTAATTGTTCTAATCTAATTTTTACATTTTGAACATGTTATGTTGATGTTTCTGTTATCGAATGAATATTTACAATGTATTTTTTATCTTGTTTGTCCTTGTCATTTTTTTAATCTAAACTGATAAGAAAAAAATAAATAAAAAGGACATATAAGCTAATTAGCATTATGAACCTACAAACATTACGTAACAAAAATTGTAAAATTATAATATTAGAATAATTAGAAGATAAGGATACGTTGTTAATAAACGCATAATAACAAAGATGGGTGCCAATAAAATAGACTACAATTAAAGAACGGCATATAGGAGAATAAATTTATTTCATGGACATAATCAGAGCTGATTAGGGGCAAAAAAGATTTATTTGAAATGAAATCTACTCCGACGTTTCGCCTCTGGTTGGTTCTTCATCAAGATGGGCTTTTTTAAGTCACAAGTAGTTACAAACCAGCGTCATACATCACATAAGTCCCCAAAAATAAACACATTGGCGTAGCTGGATAATCAAGAGGTCCCAATTAAACAAAAAAATTAGTCCATGGTATCGATTACAATCCCTTTTATTGTGCAAAGGAGTAAATAGCACCTAAACCACAATACAATAGAACGGTAACCAATACAACAAATAGGAACAAAAACAAGATGGCATAAAGTGTACAAAAAAGTTAATCTGTTCAACCATCATTTTTGTTGGGGTGAGGGCCCTTTGAACGCTTGGGGCCTTAGTGTACTGCACCTGCTAGCCCTATAATAAATACGCTAGTTATGTACTATGTCTTATTTTTAATATAAAGAAGCTATTGTACAACTTATGCACTGCGTTGCATCTTGATTATGTCAGCAAGACATGATATTATAAATACTCCTGTCAAGAATTATTTCACTCACTTATACAAGTGTATTGGTCTTTGCGACATCTCATTTGTGAGTCAATTTTCAACTTTTGTTTAAATAAAGTTTTTCTGTTTTTAAAAACGGATTTTTACTTTAAACAAAAATAACTCGCTCCTTAAACACTTTTAATTTTGTGTCCTGTTCTGTCTCAGAATACCGCGTGATCTTTAGAATTGTTTAACTATTTATTTATTTATTCGTTTATTTTTACGCATTTTAACCATTTATAATAAATATTTATTATTTTATCGTGTACTCATGCCGTTTTGCAGTCAACATTTTCTTACTAAAAACAAACTCACCCTGAAAAAGTCTCAAACCAGAGGTGAAACGTATAATCATTCTTTTTTCGACCGTAATCAAGTCTAATTATTTCCATTTAACATTAAGGGGAAGAAATGGAACGTATAATATAAATATCTTTCAGTCCACCAGTTTAATTTTCAGCATCGCCTTCCTAAATTGACTCATAATAAGATATGTTAACTTACTTCGTATCCACTTGGCTGTATAATCCAGGAATTATATCCAATATCGGCAAAATTCACGTAGAGTGATTTCTTTTTACAAGAATTTTTTAGTCTCTTCATTCTTTTAACGTGACTTTTCCCATTTGGGTTTTGACCTGTGTCCAATAATCTGTTGGTCCCGTCTTCATAATCATCATCGGAGTCCCTTTTAGATCGTTTATAAGAGCCGTAATTCCTCTTCTCTTCATTCCATTGAACATTGCGATCCTTACGGGACATGTACGACAATAAGAGAACAGGATATTCATGTTCTATATTTTCGTTGTTATTGTTAGGCATCAACGATAGACGAAATTCACTCTCAGAGGCTCCATGATACATGGAGAACACTGAACGTACACGTAAAATAACTTTCAGAATATTATTGGAAAAAGTGACGTTTTGAAGAAGCTTCATTACCGGTGTCGTAACGTTGAATGAAATCCAAGTGTTCTCAAAATGAAATAAATGTCGATTGTCTAACGGTTGAAATTCGTTGACTGTTTCGTTAAACACTAGAAGTGTTATTATCCTTTCAACTCCTATGAAATTAAACAAATTAGGCATAAGATACTTTTAATTTTTGTGGCGTTAATTAAATGTATTAGTGAACTAATTTTACCCACTACAGATAGTCTCAAATTAATGAAGAAAAATTGTTGTTGCAGTCACTCCCTAGCCGGGAATCGAACCCGGGCACCTGGTTTTACGCACTAGTACTCTACTACCAAGTTACATTAATTAATTTGAGGTTATATGTAATGAGTAAAATTAATTCGCTAATACATTGAATTGACGCTACAAAAATTGAAAGAAAATGTGTAGATCTGAGATAGATCTAAAAATATAGTAGGTTTTTTTGAAGTGAAACTTCTTTACGCACGGTAGGGTAAGTTCGTTTCATGCGAGTCGCTATGTAACGAAATCATGCAACGCATTTCCCCCGCTGTCTGTCCCTATGTATGCTTAGATCTTTAAAACTACGCAACGGACTTTAATGCGTTTTTTTTTAATAGATAGAGTAATTCAAGAGGAAGGTTTATAGGTATAATACGTGCATAATATAGTAGGCAAATAATAATTTTAGAGGTTTGTAATGTGATGTAAATAAACACATTTTTTGCGCTTACATTGCAAACGCTGGCTGAACCCTACGAGACAGATCAAAATAATATACTACAGTATTGTACACCTTAAAAAGGTCTACAAAAAAGTCCGGGATGGTATATGTCTATCTCTTAGAAATAACCCACAATAACCATTTTTTACCCTTTACTTTTTACGAGAATTAATGGCTTATTTACGAAGCGATTTTAAGCAAAACAGCATTAATCCTTATCCAATTAAATACTTTTAAATACATTGTGCATTTAATATAGATCAATATGGCCCTTTACAGCATTTAATTTAAATGAATATTTTCGAAGATATTACAGACTTAAAATGCAGGGACATAGCGGTTGCGGCGATACCGGCCGATTTGTATTGTCTAATGACAAAAAAGCTGTGATTGTTGTATATAAAGACATTCTATAGTATAATTACTATCAGCATTGCACCTGTGCGAATCATAGTGTACAAAAAATATCATTAAACCAATTCCTTAACCCTTATCCCGGTATGTTTGTGTGTTTGAAGAAGTTTCACTTCAGCAGCGTGTTGTATAATTACACGTTGTATTTTTTTTTTTTTTGATGACGAAACTATATCCTTATAAGGGCTCCACTTTTGTACCCTGTAAGTTCATGTTAGATCTAATTGGTTCATTATGGCCGGAATAGATTTAGAGGCAGACAAATATGTATTTATGTGATAAAGTTTTGGTTTTTTATTAATTAATTAATGAGAATTATTATCTATAGGGTACAAAATCTTTGTTTTGAATCGGATCGGATGAATATAAATGAAAAGAAATTGCGCAGAGAGCAACAAAAGTTCACCTATTATTGTCTTTGGTGTTTGAACAAGAGTTAATATTTTTAGTTCGGCACTCAAGAGCTCTTCATCTTTATTGGGAGCAGGTATATCAAAAGCTAGCATATGGTTTTCGATTATGTCTTCAACGGTTGGTTCCAGAAAAGATGAACCTGAAAAACAATGAATTCTATTAATGGATACCTAGTAGCGAGCTGAGAGCCGAACATAGGGATATTCTATTACATTTAATCATCAAAAGACGGCAACATCCCTTGAAGAATACGGCGTGGTATAGGAAAATTCGTACACATACCAACCATTAGTCATTTTTTCATATAAATAAATATTAAGTAAATGTTAGTTTAAAAAAATATATTTTTACTTAATAAAGCCAATATTTTTTTTCTTTTCACTCATCATGTTTATTTATTTTCAAATTTTGAATTTGTACAGTTATATTGAACTA